TCCGACTTTGGAAATAATTATGCATAAAATGGACTCAGGACAAGGTGCGTTCCCCTAAGTCTTCCTACCAGCATGACCAAGTTGCGAAAACAAGGTCAAACGACTTCTATACAACGAAAGAAGACTGCGACTACACAAAAGGCCACACCATCTTGGTCTTCACACCTTCGATTAAACTGTATTTAAGTTTCAACCCCGCCTCTGTCTCATCAGCTCACACATCGGGAGGATTTGAAGAAATTCAACAGCCTCATCATATCAGACCTAAATTGACTAAACTTCTTATCAAGCTAAAGCCATCAAATGGGTGAACCATAATTTGGAAAGTCCTGGCCTCCTCCGGAGCTCAGACCTGCCCTGTGACCAAATGGCACCAGCTCTTAGTTCTGGAGCAGAGGGGTGACTTGCTGTCGCTTTGTACACGTGACTCGGTATCAAATCCCGAGAGTGGTGAGGATGAGGCAAAATGGCAATGGGATGAGGTGAAAACCGCAGTCCAGGCTCGAGGAGAAGGTTTTCTGAAAGGCAGGGTTGGATTAAATCGAGTGGTAGCATGAGGCCTTGTTATTCCAAATTGGCCTAAGCTCCAGAGCAGGCTTTTGTATACCAATTACAATAAAATAGATACCAAGTGTATCTCTGTAAGGACTCAGCCGCACTGGTATCCACTAGATGGGTACCATTTTTTGCCAATGAGATAGACCTATCCACACCACAAGATGCAAGCGTTCCGACACGCGTCCATTGAACAGTGACCAGACATCATGGACGATAACCATCAGCACCATTAATTGAGAATGAGCACAGCACTTCACATAATTGCTTAATCCTCGAGTATAGAATAATCACTTGAGTCACCTTAATTAACTTAAGATGATTTTTGTCGGATAAACTGAAGATACGTGCTAAAACTTCACAATTCCTGAACTGCAGTTTCGACCTCGTCTTATCCGCCTATCACCTCATCGTCACTACCAACAGGATTCGAAACCGAGTCGGGCATGTAAAGTAATACCAAATTACCACTCCGCCCTGAGTCAAGATTTGATGTCATTAGGTCACGGGACATAATTGAAATTCACGGCAAGCCAGATCTCTCCATACTATCGTAAATAAAGCAAGGTTGTGTGTATTTTTGCCTTTGGCTACGTTACTACATAGTTCAAGAGTATCTTAAGGAAATTATCTGTACTGCTTGAACATGAAGTTTAATCGTTCTAGCTCTGATAAGACGCGGTAATTGGATTTTCTCAATGCCCCTCGTTGCGGGTGCTGGTCTAAGCTAAAATCCAGATTTAGGAATGAGGCCATTTTAGAGACAAGATATGGAAAATGCAATGGCTTCGTGAGGCCAATTATTTTCATTGTGGGAAAGTGTAACAATCAGTCCGACATTATTGTAAACAATCTAAAATGACTAAACTCCTTGTTCAATTTCTACTTCTTAACTGGGAGCCTACTCTCTACTCACAAGTGCTTCATTAGTAACAGTATCAATTATTGACGGCAAAAATAGACATTTTAAACTCACCTCTTTCTTTAAATGACTACAGTTGAAAAAGCCTGGCAACGAACTGTGCGGGGTGTCGTTGGGTAACGGATGCCGTTCAGTCCTGGGTACCGACTCGTATGCATGCCAATGTCATGGTATCTGGCATATTGACATCCGGTTGAATGAGGATAATTGCCAACTGAGGCTGGATTCTGTCAGTGACTACGAGCAATTGGACGGGACTTCTGACAGCAAATTGTTGCCAGCTGACGGGCAGGTCAACCTAGAGAGTGAAAAAGAAGATTCGAATGCCACAAGCCGACGAATAGACATACATCAACTAGACTTGATCATGAAGAAGAAGATTGATTCTTATCAGCCAAACTGCCAGCACAAGTCGCTTGTCCTTACTTCTATCGACAAGACGCAATACTCTTGTGTCTGTCCAACTGGTCCCACCGGCTATAAGCTTTATGAGGGCAAGTTAATTAATTGTCGCTGATTAATAGGTTCTTGGGATTTCCTGTAGATCTGGTCTAAATTGTTAAAATGACAAAGGACTGCTGGTTGAATTTACATATGAATAGACTTGATTTTTCCATTAAATTTCACATGATCTTGCTTCCCAAAAGGTATTTTTACCCGGGCTGAACTGGTCTTGTCAGCACCCCCAGCACGACTTGAAGCCGGGTTGTATAAGCACAGCGTATAGTCTCTATCCGGTAGCAACTACGCCACACGGCAACCAATGCCCTTGGGTCACATGGCCGATTTAACTTTCAACGAGGGCAAGGCATTTTTATATATCACATTCTGTGATGGTGTTGTCGATGAAGCCAAGTTGTATTTGTTATAACAGTCGACTAAATTACTTATTTTCTCGAGTATGCCAATTGATCATATATATGAGATATATTTATCCTATTTACTTAAGGTGATGAAGAAGTGGTAGCTGAATTTTTTCCCCAATCATATAACTCGGCTTTACATTTCCAGTGGATTCAACATAGCCTTGCTTTCAAAAAGGTATTCTCATCCATCTTCTGGTAAGCAAAGCTATGTGAAATTCACTGGAGACTGTAGGAAGGTTCAACTACCACTCCTTCATCACCTTTAACAAAATAGGGTGAATACAATTATAATTTCAAGTCTTCTGATAATCTCGAAAACCTATTTAGAAAACGAAAAACAGGTCTTACCTAATCCTAAGGTTTGAACTAGTTGTACATGAGTAATTTGGTTGGTAACTTCCCTAGTTAGACATC